CTTCAGCCTTGTCCAGCCCCAGTTATGGTGGCCATTTGGGGAATGAAATAGCCGGTGGAAGATCTTCTTCTTTCTGCCTTCCCTCTTAGCCTTGCAAAAAAATGTTAATCTTTAAAAAAAAAATCCATGTGTTACATAAATTTCTTTCAGGAATGAATTGGCCGTTAATTCAGTGTTAATATTCACCAAGTAAGATGGAATTCATAAGAAACATGCATAAACTGAAGCTTATGTATTGGCTCTTAAAAATGTTAACTGTAGCAGCCAATGCCATGGCTTAAGAGGTTAATCTCCCAACTGGAAATGCTGGCATCCCATATAGGCACCAGTTTCTGTCCTACCTGCTCTGCTTCCCATCCAGCTCCCTGCTTCTGGTCTGGAAAAGCAGAGGAAGATGTCCCAAGTCTTTGGGTCCCTGCACCCACGTGGTCAGACCTGCAAGAAGCTCCTGGCTCCTGACATTGAATCATCTCGGCTGTGGCCATTGCAGCCATTTGGGATGTGAACCAGCAGGTGGAAGATCTTTCTCTCTGTCTCCCCTTCTCTCTGTGAATTTGCCTTTCAAATCAAAATAAAGTAAGTCTTTAAAAAAACTAAGTGCAAGTTTATAGAAACATAACCATGTGTTTTCCTTAGAAACAGTGGTTTGGTAATTCGTTAATTTTATGTCAGTGACATAAAATTATGACTGCATCACATAATGTGAATACATTCTTCAAAACCTGTTTAGTGTTTTGTTTCAAAGTTGTGCTCACCCTGATTTTAGATTTTTTTAAAGTTATCTGAACATCCACTGTGGATTTTTTAAAAGTCATTTTTAAGTATTCATTTTTATTTATTTGAAAGGCAGCTTGACAGAGAAAAGAAGTTTATCTTCCATCCTCTGATTAATTTACTGAATGCCAACCTTGGCGGTGGGGCAAGCCAGGAGCCTGGAACCCAGTGATGGAGTCTTTTGCTGGCTCACAGCTGCCTCAGTAGGAAGCCAGATGAAAAGCAGAGTTGGAGGGGAGATTCACCTGCAGGCACTCCAGTATGGGATACATGCATCCCAAACAGTAGCTTTTGTGTTATAACACCTGCCTGTTAAAGTTCTTTTGGACTTTGATATTCAGAAGTTTACTGTGTTATAATTACTGGGCTTCTATTTGTATTCATCTTGGTTGGAATTTTTGGTGCTCTGAATCTAAATATTTATTACATCTATTATGGAAGACTCTTGTGCTTTCTCTGACTATAACAACATTTTTTATGTTGTTGTTTTATCTTTTATTCTCTCTTCCGTAACATTTATTTTTTAGTGTCACCTTAAAATCAGATCTGTATTCCAGTTTACTAATTTTCTTCTCAGGTGTATCTAATATTACTAATCTGTTCATCAAAACCTGCAGGACTCCTGAGATTACTGGATTAAAGATGTTGTCCGCTTCGAGACTAAAGCGATGTTTTATAAAGGACAGAGTTTTCCAGATCACTCATTTGAAACCCAAATCCGCATGAAAACATGCAAGTAGATTCTCAGAGAAATTTTACTTCTCCAGCTTTCAAGCAAAACGCATGAAGACAGTTAATTTTGATGCCTTATCTGCCTTTGCCAGCTGATAAGATTTTTTTCCTACCCTATGATACTATTGTAGGCTTAAGGGTTATACCTTTATTCAGAAAGCTCAGTTCCAACACTTAACCATATAGGCTTAGGGGCTTTAGCTTTGATTTTTGTCCCCTAAGATTTTCCCTTGATTTTTGCAAGCTAACTCGTGCATTTATAATAGGGACTTGTTCATTTCTCTAGTATTTCAATGTGTTTTTCCAAACCTCTAGTTCGCCATCCTTCTAGAAGTTTGTGTCTCTTTCTGATGAAATATTGAAAAGCATTATGATATTAAATTGACTTTTCTAATACAGATTTATTCATTTTAGGGACTAGAATTTTATACTATCATCAGTCTTTTGTTTTTAAACATGGATTTATTTATTTGAGAGGCATTGTTAGAGAGGAGAGGAGATGGAGCTCTCCATCCGCTGGTTCACTCCCCCGAGTGGCTGAAGGCCAGAGATGAGCCCTGCCGAAGCCAGAAACCTGGAACATGATCCAAGTTTCCCATGTGGATGCCAGCAGTCAGTGTCCATGGGCTGACTTTTGGTACTCCCCTAGGTGTGTAAGCAGGGAGCTGGAGTTTAGGTGCAGCAGCCAGGACTCCAAGTAGTACTCACGGATGGCAGCTTTCCAGGCTGCCGCTTTAACCTGCTCTGCCATACCCCTCAATCTTTTTTTTTTTTAAGATTTTTTTTTTAATAATTTGCAAAGCAGAGTTACAGAGAATAAGAAAAACAGAGAGGTCGTCTGTTTCCTGGTGCTCTTCTCAAATGGCCTCAATGGCTAGAGCTGAACCAATTCTAAGCCAGTGGCCCAGAGCTTCTTCCGGATGTCTCAGGTAGTTGCAGGGACCCAAGGACCTGGGCCATTGTCTGCTGCTTTCCCACGCCATTAGAAGGGAGCTGGATTAGAAGTGAAGCTGCCAGGATTCAAACCAGTACCCAAATGGGATTACTGCAGGCAGAGGTTTAACTTACACCACACTGCCTGCCTTAGCCCCAGCCCCTCAGTCTTAACTATTAAATAAGAGTTGGCTGTGGGCCCAGTGCAATAGCAGGTGGTTAAATTCTCACCTTATGCTTGCAATGAGAGAACCTCAACTGATTTTGAACTGTGGCAATGCAGCAAGGTGGAAGAATCCACCATGGGGGGAGGGTTGGGGGGAGGGGTAGAAGGAATCCCAGTGCCTAAAAAACTGTGTCACATAATGCAATGTAATAATAATAATAAAAAAATTCTCACCTTGCATGTCTAAGCTGCTCCACTTCCCATCCAGCTCCCTGCTTGTGGCCTGGGAAAGCAGTTGAGGACGGCCCAAAACCTTGGGACCGTGCACCCGCGTGGGAGACCTGGAATAAACTCCTAACTACTAGCTTAGGATCAGCTCATCTCCAGCAGTTGCAGCCATTTGGGGAGTAAACTATCGGACAAAAGACCTTTGTTTCTGTATCTCCTTCTCTTTGTAAATCTGCCTTTCTGATAAAAAGAAGTAAATCTTAAAAAAAAGAAAGCAGTTGAGGACAGCCCAAAGCCTTGGGACCCTGCACCCGCTTGGGAGACCTGGCTCCTGGTTTCGGATTGGCTCAGCTCCAGCCGTTGCGGCTGCTTGGGAAGTGAACCAGCGGATGGAAGATCTTCCTCTCTGTCTCTCCTCCTCTCTGTATATCCGCCTTTCCAATAAAAAAAAAAAAAATCTTAAAAAAAAGATCAACTTTATGAAACAAAAATGGCTGTAATACATATTCAGTAAGTAGTCCTAAGTATTTGCAGTTTGTGGCACATTTCTGGTTTAAGGAATGTTGAAAACATTCCTTTAAAATATGAAGACTATTCACTATATGAACTCATAAAATAGTGACTTTATAATTTTATCTTTTAAGTATAGTGACTTTTCCTGTAGGTACAATGTTTATATTTGAGAGATTACTTAGAAAATAGAAAGTTTATTTCTGTGTTATTAGTTTCATTGATGTCTATAATAATGTTTTTCAGCAATGAACAGTTTTTCCTCACTCATCCCAAGTGACTTGTAGCAGAGTCTGGATGTAGCAGAGCTTGGATGTTAGAACTGGGAGGAGGAGGATACTACTGACACCTAGTGGGCAAGGCCAGGAATGCTCCTAAAAATTCTAGAATTTGAGAAAAAGTTGTAAATATATCAAGAATGTATAACCTAAAACATTACATCACAGGATAACAAATTCATTCCTTTTATTCCATCATGCTAGTGAGAGAAGAATAATATAGCTTAATTTATTATTTTGCTTTTATCAATAAAGCAAATCATTTTATTTTTCTACAGGGATATAGTTAATCCAAAATTCAGTACATTAAGCTGTATTGTGTGGCACCTTGCAAAAAATGAACCCTCCATTTTTTTCTTGCAGATGTCTGTTAGAAGTACAGAAACAAGAGTTTTTAAGAAATAAATATTACCTTTTTCTGAAGGCCAGATATATAAAATTGTCCTAGCCACTGACATAATCTTGTGACACAGATGAGTTGGTTTTGAAATAATTCTTATTGCTCTATCATATTCTATGTATATAATTCATATTGGTGTTTGGGTCATGAGCATGAAAATATCATTTCATTACCCATTGGAATTTTATAAAAGTGAGTGCTTCACTTTTTGATTTTTTCCTTTGTATACTTTAAAATTTTTAACTTAAGATTTTTAGCTTTAAAATAATTTTATGTCTGAAAGAAAGTTTATAAAAATAATACAGTTCTTGTATGCCTTTCACCAGGCCTCCTCTAATGTTTATGTCTTAACACAACCATAGGATAATTATTAACAGAAAATCAGCACTAAATTACAATTCTTATTTGCAGTTCATCAGTATTTTCAACATAGACCATTTGTGTCCCAGGGTCCAAGTCAGGGTCACACATTGCATTTTGTTCCCGTGTCTTCCTGTTTATGACAACTATTCAGTTTAGCCTTGTTCTTCGTTAACCTGACAATTTCAAAAATTTGAGATGGAGAGAGAGAAAGCAAGAGGTAGAAAGAGCAGAGCATGCCTAGCTATTGGTTAACACCCCTGATGGCCTGTGTCTCCTGGACCTGTGCTGAGGCCAAAGTCAGGAGGGAGGAACAAAATTCAGGTCTCCCACATGAATGACAGGGACCCAACTGCTTGCTGCATCACCTGCTGAGTCCCATGATCTGAACTGGCAGGAAACTCATGAGGAGCTAGAAGCCAGAATCAAACTCAGGCACCTCAATATGGAAAGTGGTTATCTTACCCAGGTTCATTGCTATGCCAAATGCCTACCACTAATTTGACACTTCTGATAGAGTCTAATGGTGCATTATATCAAATATCTCTCAATTCAAAATTGTCTAATGCTTTTTATCTTGGGTAGATTGAAGTTACGGTTTTTTTTGACAGCACTATACATGATGCTGTACCCTTCTCAGTTCATCGTTTCAGAAGGTAAATGGCATTGAAATGTCTTGTTACTGATGATGTTAACGTTGGTTAAGGAAGTGTCTGACAGAGTACGCCACTGTAATTTTTCCCTTTATAATTAATAAGTATTGAATGTTCTGTGAATTTATTAGTACAAAACAAGTTATTAGAGACACAAATTCTAAACTTTTGTTATTAATTATTTTAAATAGTTTACTCTGATCTGTTAAGTTTTATAACTTTAACATCTTTGCAGATGGTTAAATTGGAAGAATTACTTTTTAAATAACCTTAACCTTTATGTTCAGAGCACTTATTTAACTTGAAGCTTGCTGTAAAAGAACTTGATAGGAATGCCAAGAAATGTGATAAAGAAGAAAAAGCTGAAAAGGCCAAAATTAAAAAGGTAAGCCATATTTAACATTTTTTTTTTTAACTCATGAAAGGATAGTTGAAACTGAGGTTTACATTGAGGAAAGTTTAATTACTGGTTTAGGCTTCTGTTTCTAATATCTCCTTAAGTAATTATCTAATACAGTTAATCATGGCTGTGCTTATTGTTTATTATTATGCTTATGTGTTTGCTGATAATTATCTAAGTATGTTCCATAAGATTGGCTTTGACTTTTCTGTGTTACCTACATCTAAAGATTGTCCTATGACTTACAGGTAGAACCAAGCTGAGAATTACAAAATTCATATGTTGAGATTGTTTAGCTTTATTGGTTAATTTTAGTGTCTACAATTTCTAAAGTTTTGGAGCTAAATCTTAGATAGCATTAGTGTACATTTTGATTTGTATATTTTCTGAGAGAATTCACAGGAATCAGCATATACTTGTAGTTATGACATTTTATTCCAAATCACAATAAAAAGATACAAAGTAGAATCAGAAGGAGAAGGTACATGGAAGATACCCGGAGGATTCAAACTCAAACTTCCTGGAGTTCTATCAAAGTCACCTAGGACCAGTTTAATTTCTGTAACTAATGATGAAAACATGTATGAATCATTGTCTACCAGGGAACCGCTCCTGGGCCTAGGAGGCCAGAATTTTTAGCCATAGTCACACAGGTACTTCATGGTCAATACATATCAAAAATTCTAGATCCCCAAAAGACAATCAGGAGTTTGTCATAGATCACCATTGTTTGTCAAGTTTAGGCACAATGAGTGAGCTAATCTTTTCAGTTCTGAGATCCAGTCCCAAATTGAAGTTTCTATATGCCACTTAAGTGCCAAATTTAAAATTAGGCCTCTCTTAAGATGGTAGTCTAGGACCACTGCATTAAATACTTTCTGCACATGTGCAATTTATGGACCTATTTTAAGGTATTATCTTATCAGATATCCATGTTTAGTAGTAGCATATATCCAATCTTTAAATTAAGTCATTTTGATTATTTTGTCTATACTTGTAAAAACTCAAAGAGAACTTTTAGAAAAAGAAATGAAAATGCTTAGGCTAGATTAGGGGATAAAGTAAATTTGGCATGGATGTCTTGGGATTATGCTTTTCTAAAACAAAAAAAAAGGTGTTCAAATATTACAAGGAAAAATGATAAAAAGATTCTTAGCCTGATATAATTGCATATTCAGGAGTTTGGCGATCACAACAGTGATTTCAAGGTATCAAATCTAAGCAAACATAGAAATATTAAAATATATAAAAGGGCAGTTGTTGTGGCAGAGCAAGTTAAGCCAGGACTTGTGGTTCATGTGTCAATAATAGAGTGCTAGTCCTAGTCCTAGCCACCTTATTTCTGATTGAGCTTCCTACTAATGCATCCTGGGAGACAGCATATGACTACTCAAGTGTTTGAGCCCCTGTTCCTTACATGGGAGACCTGGAAGTGTGGCATCCTTCAGCCTCATCCACCCCTAGCTGTTGCAAATATACTGGGAGTGACATAGCAGATGGAAGGTTTGTCTTTCTTTTTCTCTAGCTTTCCAGTAGATACAAAATAAAAATAAAAATAGCCATTTTAAAGTGCAAGCTATTCTACCGTATAAATCCCTAGTTAGTATTTTATTTATGGAGTTGGCAAGGAGCATTGCTTCCTGAACATAGGTCTGCTACATTATGAGTCTATTCTTCCTGCTACATGTTTCTTCTTCACAATCTGCTTTTCAGTTTTTCTTTATTCTTTCTTTTTAAAATAATCTTGAGTTTATTTAAAAGGTGGAGAGAATACAGATACATATAGAGTGTGTTCGTGGGTGGAGTGGGTCAGGAGGGGAAAGGTGGGAGAGAAGGAAATATTTTTGCATTCCATTTTGTGTCCACAGGAAACGTGAGCTCACCTGTCCGCATGGCCAGTGTTCGTAAGATTTTGGGAAAGGGAAGTAGTTGCATGGTACCACACCAGGTCTCCAGTGAGAGGAAGTAGGTCTTGGCGGAAGGTTCATTTGATTAATACGTAGGTGGATGGAATTTATAAAGAACTGTGAAAGTGTTTTTTTCCTGTTCGTGACCCTAAGCTTGTTACCTACCTGTCCCATTTCATTCTTTCCTCAGATCTCCCATTCTTAATGTAAGGGTTACTGAAGGGTGCAGATTCATCACATCTTCTTTAGCTACTTCCTGCTGCTCAGAGGTGTAGCACTTGCCTATCCCAGATTCAGAACTCTTTTTGTCTCATCTAATGGACCCCTCTCATGAGCCAGAGAGCTTAAGTGCCAATTGCCATGCCCCCCACATCTTCATCATTGCTCTGAGATGTTCTTGACTTCTTTGCAAAGAAATCAGCAATGCAGGTGATATAATCATGTCACATAGGCTCCAAGGCCAGATCACACCACCACAGGTTCTGGTCCCTGAGTTCATCCTCACATGTCTGTGGCCAACATGAGATGAAAGGGTGGACCTCTTGCCAACACCAGAAGCCATTAGTGATCCCCCTCCCCACTCCTCTTTTTTTTAGATTTATTTTTATTGCAAAGTCAGATATACAGAGAGGAGGAGAGACAGAGAGGAAGATCTTCCATCTGATGATTCACTCCTCAAGTGACTGCAACAGCCGGTGCTGCGCCGATCTGGAGCCAGGCGCCAGGAACTTCCTCCAGGTCTCCCACACGGGTGCAGGGTCCTGAGGCTTTGGCCATCCTCAACTGCTTTCCCAGGCCACAAACAGGGAGCTGGATGGGAAATGGAGCTGCCGGCATTAGAACCGGCACCCATATGGGATCCCACCGCATTCAAGGCGAGGACTTTAGCCACCGGGCTATTGCACTGGACCCGAGCCCCCAGCTCTTTTAGCAGGTGCAGCAACCTGGCCCAAAGAAGCCTCTCTGCCTGCCCTGACTGGCCCACTCCCAGCCCCACTCGTGCACCATTGGATGCAATAGCCTGGCCCAAGAGGAATCATGGCACTGGCCATCTAAACCCTTCTTCTAGCCCACTTCTAACTCCAGCAATCTCACATATCTGCAGGTGCAGCAGCCTGGCTGCTGCCGAGGGAGGCCTGTGGCACTGGTTATCCAGATCCCCCACCTGCCCCACCCCCAACTTCAACTGTCATACGCACTGGCAGGTACAGTGACCTGGCCGGGTGAAGTCTGTGGCTGCAGCTCTTCCTACATCAAAAGCCCTCAGTAAGAAACTAGCACGATGGCATAGTAGGCTAATCCTCTACCTGCAGCATTAGTATCCCATGTTTGTGCCTGTTTGTGTCCTTGCTGCTCCACATCCCATCCAGCTCCCAGCTTGTGGCTTGGGAAAGCAGTAGAGAATGGCCCAAAGCCTTGGGACCCTGCACCCATGTGGGAGACTCAGCTTCAGATCAGCTTGACCCTGGCCATTGCAGTCGTTGAACTGGTGGATGGGAGTTCTCTCCCTCGCTGTCACTTCCTCTCTTTCAATAATTCATGTGAAATAAATAAATCTTAAAAAAATAGGCAATCATGCTGGCACATTGGTGTAGTTAACATAGAATTGGCATTAGCTGAGTTCAGAGGCATGAACCGAGGCAGTTAGTTGGGGTGCTTTGTGTTTTTTTCTTTCTACTTCCCTTAAGATTTTTTACTTCTCACACTCCTTTAATGTCTATTTTCCCATCTATTCAAACTCATGGCCTGCAGCATCTCCTTTTTTGTTTTTTCAATATATTTTTAAAGTAGTTGTGGTTTGCTGTGGTACCCAGCCAGGAACCATTGCACTGGTGGGCCTGCAGGGAGCCTGGAGGATGACACTGGTGGGGGCATGCGGGGTCATGGGGCTCACATCCAGGCAGGCGGAGCAAGCTTGGGGATTTCCCGATGTGCTTAGTCACGAGCTGGGTAGGAGAGGAGAGAGGAGAGCCCAAGATTAGTATGCTGTCCTGGTGTGCTGGTGGACTGGGTTTGGGGAACTTTGAATATGCCTGGATCTTGGGTCTGCAGAGGGGAAAGATCCTAGGTCAGCACACGTACCAGGAGCTTGGGACCCTAGTAGGCTGGCAGAGCTCCAGGCCAGCATACAACCCCATTGGAAGACTGGGCTTAGGAAGGCTGGGCTGGGGAACCCATGTCCTCCTGGGCGCAGGGATTGTGGATTGATCAGGGAAGTTGGTAAAGAGATGGGTGCGACATAGGAAGTTCCTGGCTCCTGGCTTCGGACTGGCATAGCATCAGCCGTTGCGCTCACTTGGGGAGTGAATCATCGGACGGAAGATCTTCCTCTCTGTCTCTCCTCCTCTCTGTATTTCTGACTTTCCAATAAATAAATAAATCTTAAAAGAGAGAGAGAGATGGGTGTGAGGGAGGACGCTGAGGGAGTGTGTTGCAGATGAGGAATAACTTCTGAGGGACTACCATCGACAAGGCCACTGTACTTGCAGGTAAGGGAGGGGACTGAGGCCGAGCGGTTTGGAAGGAGGAAGCTAGAAGACCTTTATTGATTGATTAGAGTGATGCACCAGCCCACTTGGGAGACCTGAGCTGCACTAGTTAGTATGGATTGCTGTCGACTACCACCCACTAATGCACACCATAGCTAGATTGGGGGCCTACCTGGCAGGGCTAGATTACAGTACTCCACAGTGAGAGCTGGAACAGGAGACAGGTAATGTTAGGTTGAGCCATGACACTAACCAGCTCAGGAGAGAACCAAGTCTGGGGGCAGATTCTGTGGGAGATATGTGGACCCACCGTTATGGAACTTCAATTTTCACTGGTTTGATTAAGAGCTAAGATGGTAACAGGCTGAGCTAAGCATGACCAAGGAGCTCCCCCTCCCTACTTCATGACATTTATGAGTACTGTGATTGGAAACAAGCTGGCTGGTAGAGTCTGCAGCACCTGCAGGCACACCCAAGAATAGTGTGTTGGGCTGGCCGGGTGGCAACATTCACTAGCTCATAAAAGGCCAGGGCAGAGTGGATAGACTATGCCGTAAAGGCCTAGCACCTGCTGGCACTTGTGAAATCT